CTTTCCTTTTTCTTAGGAAAGAAAAGATATGCATTATATCTTTACTCTTTTTTGTTGTAAAGAAAAAGAAAAACTTTTCTTTTGTTAATAAAAAAAGGAGGTAGGAAAGAGAAAGTGCCACCCCTAGGTGTGGGCCCAAATCCTTTTAGGCTTTTTACTAGCTCGATACTCTCTGTCGATCCACATATGAACGAACGAAGTTAACAAAGAAGCGCGCGTTTACTATATAAACGGCGTCTAACATGAAATAGAATCATAATAACTAGGTAATTTTCTTTACGCATGAGTATACGCTGTAGCAAGAAACTTTGTAGAAGAAAGTCATAATTTAGCACGCGTTTTCCATTTATTTGGGATTCTTTTACAACAATGATTACATCGTGTTTTGCTCGGACTTTTCCTCGAGAACATGATGTAATCAAGCGCCGACATAAATCTCTATATACAATAAAAAGGTATTTTAGTGTAAATGATTGCTGAAAAATGAAAAATTTATTCTACCACCAAACTCACCAAATAATAAATGTGCCTCTAATGATAATTATGTGCTCTAAATGTGCCATATTTAAGACGAATAAACACCAATTTCGAATCATCACTTTTCTGCATCATGTTCCTGAGAAAAAACCGGGTAAAACATTCTGCAATAAGGCCAATAATTTATTTAGTGCAGTTTTTCAAAAGTACAAAGTTCCGAAAGGAAGAACTGTGAGCAAGTCACTAATGAGTTTAAAACTGTTTTTTGATAGTTAAAAGTTGAGAAAATTTCTAAAAAAGTTGATACAGTTAATACCTTAGATATAATTATGAACTCCAGTTATAACTATCAATCCGGGTTGATCGATATAACTGCGGTTGAACGAGTTACAACTCCAAATGGGTAGAGTGATAACTAGTCCAACTCCAGTTATAACTGCATCAGTTTTAGTAATGACTACCGACCCATAATAAAATTATGAAAGCTCATTTCAGTTTATATTATGGCACAGTTATAACTAAAGTTCAAATAGTTATAATTCTCTCAACTGCAGTGTATGGTAGCTCATAAGATTTAGACAGAATGTGTTACGAGCCCTGTTTATTCTTTTTTTCCTACACGCCGAGCTTGAAATGCTTTCTTGTATGTTCAGTCGCAGTTTTTAAATTGAAGAGAAGATTTTTAGAGTAAATGAATCCAGAACAAACTCAATTTTGAATGTCCTTGAATATCCTTAATGGACACTACCTTTTATGTAGAAAAATAATCTGATCATAATATTTACCATACCTCATTTTCGAGTCATTATTTACTGATGATAAGAGACAAAAAAGCAATCTTTCTAACTTCTTACAGAGAAAAATCCCTGATTGATAAGGTTTTTTTTTAAGTAAATTTCTCTTTTGTCTACCGTATCACTGATAGAAACGAACACTATATAAACGGCTCATTTTCAACAGAATAAGTCACCATTTTACGGAATAACACAAACTTACTATTGAATACATCGAAATTAGCTGCTCGGAAGTTCGACTTATTTTCTTTTTGGTAAGTAAGAATAATACTAACACAGGCTCAACTTTCCTTCAGTATATTTTAACCTTACATTATCCAGGAATTTATAGGAGATATTTTAAAATATTTCTATAAAGCTTAAAAATCCGCAGATATTATACAGATGATAAACACTTGAAAATCTCAGGGTTTCCCCACAAGTGACTTTCTAAACTTTGGAGTAGGACAAAAGTCCAGGTCAAAGCTCCATGGCGGTAAACCACAGTACACGTTACAAAAAGTTGAAATACGACTATGTTGCATCCTTTGTCAGATACGATAGTCGTATACGTTGAAATCCTGTCGCTTATGACGATCGTAAGTTGACATAAACGATGTCACTCTTTTTATGTATGCAGCGATATCGTCTGTGTCAGCTTACGATCGCCGTAAACAGTGGTAAACTTGTTCAAAACCTACTTTTTCATTTTTGAGTAAAATTTCGGCATCATAGTGAACTAGCGTGTTCAGTATTCGACGGGGATCATTTCTTAACTTCGAGGCCTTCTTTTCCTGAGGTTTACTTTCCAGAACAAGATCTAATTGATACTTTTCTGAGCAAAGAAATGTTGGTTCGTTGAAGAAAAAAAAGAGAAAAGAAGCGAATTGCTTCAGAAGTGTCTCGTCTCTTATGTTTACGTCAAAAGATTGTCAATTCTGCTTCGGAATTCTAAAACTTCTTTCGAGAAAATAGCGCTTCATTTGACTTTATCGAAATAAAAGCTTTTTTTGGTTCAAATGACGTGCAAAATTATTCAAAATTAAGTTTGTTCTGGATTCATTTACTCTAAAAATCTTCTCTTCAATTTAAAAACTGCGACTGAACATACAAGAAAGCGTTTCAAGCTCGGCGTGTAGGAAAAAAAGAGTAAACAGGGCTCGTAACACATTCTGTCTAAATCTTATGAGCTGCCATATATAGTTTTACATTTCAGAATTCAATCTGAAATGTCTTAGCAGACAAGTATATCGAGTAGAGGAAACATTTCTGAAGAAAATGAGTCGCCTCGGACCCGTTCATGACATGAAACAGAATTCAATTTACGGAACGCTCTAAGCGCAGATCTTCTTTTAGCGTTAGTTTTGATGGCATGAGACCTTCCGTAAATTGAATTCTGTTTCATCAAAAATGTCGTGAAAGGTGAAAAATGAAAAATAAAGGTGGCAAATAATTTTGGACCCACTGTATGTTTAAGCGGCACACCGTTTAATACCTCAAAATTGCTGCCAGACTTTGTTAAGTTTCCTACTAACACATTGTAAATACTTTTCAAGGCGCATCAAATGGTGTATTGGACTAGGCTAAATATTGAATAGTTATGGTGAAATTGAGATATTAGGGTCATACTGATGGTTGCAAAAAGCTGTTTGTTTTTGAGTAAATTCTGCCGGATATCTAGGACGAAAAGCGCTTGAAAGGGTCCAGAGCATCGAATATGATGATTCTGGTTAGTTCCAGACCGATGGAAGTGGTAATAGTTAGTGGACCGACTTCAAGTCTTATGCGTACTCTACATTTTGAAATGCTTTTTGCATTAGATACTTATAGAAATATATCTTGACTTATATTTGTAACAAAAAGCCTGAAAGATTTAGTTTTCTGTACGGGGAGCTATAAATAGTTGTGTTAACGGATTTCTTTACTTTTAGCCAAATATTTTAGAAGACGATTGTAATGAACAACAACGACCAAAGTCAACTGTTACTACAACAGGCATTATTCTTGAAAACTCAATAGACTTAACAAACTTTATTCTTTAATTTGTTTTTATTAATATCGTAGAACATTGTTCCCGTACATTTATTTTACAAAAAAAAGTTGAAAACGTCTTTGATAAAAAACTTAAGACACTATATTATTAAGATTTATTAAAAGGAAGAAAAGATCAGTACAATGATAAGAAAGAAGGCAAGAAAAAAAAAGAGATTGATTAGTGTGTGGTAGAGCAACTACATTAAAAAAAAATAAACAAGAAAACGCAAACAGAAAGAGTTCTGTATAAAAAGAAAACGATCTTTACAGACTACGAAACAACACAGTATCGTTTTCTAAACGTTTATTCAAATATTTTTTGATTATATTTAACATGATAGAAATCAATCTTTAACACAATATGCATATGTATACGTGAAAGTAGTTTGTCCAACATGTTGTGACCTGAGATGGTAATTCCGTGGACAGTCCCCTCGAGAGGGATAATGACCATCACAGTCAATATCCTCCAGTCGATTCGAATAAGTACGTCCGAAACCGCAAAGCGTACCAGGTAAATCCTCACTACTTGCATCTGTTTTATAACAATAGTACGCACCGCCGCCATCTATATCTGTGAGTTTATATCCATTCGGACATTTTTCCAACCATGGCTTTTTTCCACCACATTCAATTACGAAACCTTTCACGTTAATGCCACATAGTGTGCCAGCAAAACCAACATCAATTGTACTCGATGCTTTTCTACAGGTCACTGACCAATGATACTTCTCTCTAACATAACCAGGAGCACATCCATATTGTGGAGTATTTCCTTCTATAATTGGTCCACCATTACATTCAATTTTATCATTTATTCCACACAGTGTTCCACTTAATCCAACCATTACTGAACAATCAGCTCCTGTCCATCCAGTATTACATTTACATTCTCCAACTTGAAAATAACCAGTATCAACACACTTACCATGTCCTACACAATTTCCAGGACAATAGAATGATATATTAAGATATGTATCTAATGCTTTTCGAATTAACTCTTTTTTTTCAACAATGTGTGAATTTGGTTTTTGAAAACGATGAGGAGTTAAAAGACGAAAAATATCATTAACAGCAAATTTAATAACTACTGGATTATCTTCAACACTTTTAGACCATTCCTCCCATCCTTTAAGTCCTTGATTACCACCTAAGATAGAAATAATATCAAAATTTTATTTCAGAATTCTATAATCGATGCTACAGATAATACAACATTATTAAATACATGTGAATTCGTACTCTATTCTTTAACATTCGGCCGATAGATACGAATTCATTACTCTCTTCTTTTTCATTATTCTCTTCCCCATATCCAATAGGGCGATTTCTGTTTTGTTTTACAATAACTACGAATTCATACTCTATTTTTTGGTTTCCAGTGGGGTGCTTGTTTTGATTGAGTTATAAGCATTATATTCTCATCATTCATAGATTGGGTACAATGAAGATGATGAGCAACAGTACGCCTGTATGATTTTTGTTTCCTTTTGTGACTTTGCAAAACTTTATCATTCGAGTTTACTCACTAAAAAACAACTACTTTCGTTTCTAAAGTGGTCCGGAGTGTAAAATAGAATCTTAACTTTTACTTTCTAACCTTACACCAGGAAATAGAAACTGCAAGAAAAGACATGAATATACCACCAAATGACTTAAGTCCCACCCAAGATAGAAGGTCATTCTCAATAGCAGACCACATCTGAGCTTATAACGAACCAGAAGACCACTCCTGCTGCTAGCGATATATTCACAAATTTTCGAGTTTTTTTGTTTTTTTTGAAGAATTAATAATTTTTCTCATATGGGTCTTTTCAATTCCGGTTAAAAAACGGGTACGAAGTTCAACTTCTCTGACAAAAAAATCAATTTTTGTATCAACACTCTCTATTTCTACTATGGCCGTATCATTATCCTATCCTACACTAAGGTTTTAAAGAAACGTCGAAAAGCTTTCTGGTAAACAGAAACTTCGGAGATGTGTGCGTATGTATGTCACCACTCAACAGCATGACCGAGCCTGGCGTCATTTTCAAAATGTGCACAAGTTTAGAATCGGTATAAGCATCAAAGTTTTTAAAATATTTTTGTACAAATCGTGCAAAAGCAGCAAAATTCGATAAACATTATTATTTTTTGGCGTGAACGATTCTTATTCTTCGGCCTTTATTTATATCTCCTCAACAAAAACAACTATAAGAGACTATTTAAAACAAATCTACGGTAAAACCGAAGAAAAAATTTTTTCCGATTTTATCGATTAGAAGTAAAGAACTTGGTTGATCGAGCATACAAAAAATTGACATTCAGTACTTTTTTAATAAAATAAACATCTCCTTTCCCCTTATCCACACTTACGTTACACCGAACGCTATCCTGCGCATCTGTATAATCTACGAGATCACTGAAAAACACTTTTTCAACTTCATCAACTTTTTCTGTGAGAAATCCTTGTATCAAGATTCCAATTTTCGGTATCCGATTTCCTTTTAAAATATCACTTACCTATTACTTTAGAATAACGGTCTTCAATACTACGATCGAATTTGTTCTTCTCTTCCACATTATGTGAGAATGTGGCATTCGTACCAACATGAAATACCTCACCGAATGAGATGCTTGCCTCACGAGCTATATTAACACTATTTTCTTTAAGCTTGGTAACATTTGATTGATGAATAAAAATATTTTCTGATGCAATTCCACCTAATATCATATGTTCCACATAGGTAAAACCAAATTGGTCAAATAGATGATCAGCAATATACCGATAAACAGTATCAGTATACTCACAACATGGTAGGTTTTCAATAGTATAAATAAATGAATCAGATAAACTCATTTGCTCTTGAAACATCCTCAAGTCAGCAAATGTTACTTTTCGTGTTGTTGATATAATTTCATAATGTTTCTGTAATATATTATCAACCATAAATTTTGTTTGAATAGAAGATTTGTAACTGGCTGCTACTGAATTAACAGTCGAAATTGGAATCTTTGCACCACCATTAATTTCCAATCCGATCATTGTTGTTTTCTTCAAACTTTCTAATTTATCAATAATATCAACATGACTATCTTTTTCAGCTCCAGGTGTACATCTAAATGTAACAGTAGGATGCGGTTTTAATAGGCCTTTTGCACAACCTGTACCAGGCTCAGGTTTAACATAATTGAAACTAAATATCGGTAATCCAAAGGTTGCCATTTTACAGTCACGTGTGAAACAAAGTGGACTATGTTTTACTGGATTATAACCAGAACCAATTATATTACTATTTGGTATATCACCAACATTGGTTGATGTTCTTGTCAATTTCGATGATGAATTATATTTTTTTTCTTCTATCTTTAAATAGTCACGAACCCGATTATATGCTTCCGTGGCCTGTTTTTGTTTTTCATCATTACTAATATCACCACTACCAAAAGCATAACAAATACCACCGATTAATTGAATAAGAATAAGAATTTTCATCTTATTATTCCTCTTTTGATTTTACAGTTCTAAAGTAGAAGAATAGATACAAAATATTGTCTTATTTTATACTAACGTTTAACTTCTCTCCACTATATAAAAAATTGAGAAAATCTTTACCCGTACGTTCAAAGTCAAAAATGTGTTGTTTTTTTCGCACAAGTGTAGAACTAAAAATGGCGATTATTGTGACTGTTTTTGTACTTCATTTTAATTTTCTTCTTTAAACAAGGAAGATGTGTTGTAATCGTATATCAGCAAAAATTGATTCAGTGAAAACGATAGATACGTGAAAATATCACAAGATATAAATAACGAATGACGACGAATATAGCCACATGAATAAACAAACAAACTGATACACAGAGATGAGGAGTTTAAAAAAGTTTTCGAACTGGTCCATCTGGTGTTATATGTTATATACGAGTACGTGTTTTTCTAATGGAACTACAGACACAGTAGAGAGTAAATCTTTTTTTCGTTTTACAATTAGCTTTACCGTTCTTTCTCTCGATGCTTTTCTTATTTTCGCAAAAAAAAGGGTAGAAAATTTTTCATGTTTATGAACATTTCCATTTTGTTCACCGTCGGTCGACGATTACCCACTGGAAAAAAAACTTACAAATTTCTGCGTGTCAACGCAGGAATCAGAGACGAGCACAAGTAATGATGGAGCGTAAGACGCAAGAAGCGTTAAGTTTCTAGTATTTATTCTTTCGTCTCTCGTGACCTATACATGTATAGTATAGGTTACGGATGACGATAAAATTAAACGAAAGAGAAAACATAACGTGCGACGTTAAGGAAAATCCTTTTCTTACCGTACGAAACGAAGGAGTTACGTACATGACGCGAAATTCTTAACGTAAGTGAATCATCCTTAACGAGATAACGAACTGCATTCTCACTTTATTAAGGAAATAATAGCAGAAGAAAAAAGTTCAAGTAAAACAAAATACCAAATTTAGAAAAGTTGTCGTTTTTTCATCTTTTATATAATTTGCATAGTTTTCTTGATTGAAGTTATGAAATTTAAGTATGGTTTTGTAGAGTATTTCGCCGCGCATCTTTTTAAGAAAAACTAACCTTAGGATCCTAAAGAAACCTGACAAAAATAGAAAATACGGAGATATGCATTCATTTTGCGCCACTCGTTAGAAAAGAGCAAAATAAAGTGACCATGATCGTCAAACCTTCTTATTCTGCTGTCGTTGTTCACGACTGATAACATCATCTAGTGCTACTAGTCTGCGCGTGCTACTAGTAACGATTAATTAGTCCATTGTATAAAAATTCCGTAGCTTTTCAAAAATTTTGAACTTCTGAGTTTCATTACTTATAAAACAATGCCGATCACTCAAAAATAACTTTTTTTTTTTTCTACGAATCTATACGATCAGAAGTAAATGACAACGAGTAGTTGACTCGAGAGAGATGAAGTGTTGAAAAAGAAAAGAATTTTCTCTTACCCTTTCAGTCAATTGACTAAATAAGAATATCTCTATGAAATTTACTAGCGAATCTAACACATTTAAAATAATATTAGTCGATAGCGAAACGAAAAATTATGCAAAAAATTGTAGAGAAAATCATATAAAAATACAGGACCATCTTGTGCGTCCTGTCCTGCCGCTCAGCCATCACCTGTCCTGCTGAGCGGTAGGACAGGACAGCAGGATGACCGCACATTCTGTCCTGTGCTCATCTCTGACAGGAATGTTAAAAAATCCTGTGAATGTTGGATATATCCTGCGTAAAGGTAAGAAACATCGCCAGATATTTTAATCCCGACAACTCGCGAGGTTCTTGAGCAAAGTCTTGCGGGATCCTGCATGAATTTTGATTATTTTTTTCAGTAGACAGGGACACTGTTCAAAAATGATCTAGTGCACTACGATACGTCAAGGAACGTTTTAGAAAACGGAACCTATCAAAGATTGACCATCTTTACTTCTATTCTCATAAAACGCTACTAGAGAGTCCAAAAAAAAGTGCTGGAAGATCTAATTAACTCTTAAAAACTGATAAAACACGATTTTATATTTTTAATACACTTACTTCAATGCAATTTTATATGCGTAATTATAATTGTGTAGACCCAATCAATTTAACGAACACTAAACTGAATTAAGAAAAGATAAACAAGTTTTAAAATTCAATCAAATGTGCGAAATTCTAAAATAAACCACTGCTCAAGCGACAAGCTGCACGAGCAGTAGCAAGCATCAGGACTTACTTATGAATTTGTGAAATGAATAAAACACTTTTCAAACGTAAGAATAAGTGAATGTATGGTGGAAACGTTCACCACTTGTTCTTATATAGGGGCAAAAAAGACGAAGAAGTAACTACTAGAGCGGAGGAGAAAACGTTTCTCTTTCTTCTTTCACACATAATTTTTCTTGCCGTTGACCAGCTGAAAATTTTATTCAGGCTCCCAAAAACAAAAACAGAGTAGATAAATAGTCTTACATGTATATTCTTAGATATGTTCAAGGCAAACTTGATTATACAAAATGAGAATTCACTGTTTCTATAGATTATCATACTGTTCACATTTTGCCAGGCCGCCAAAAAAGTAAAAATAAATCAAAAACTTACTACCAACCTCACATAATGTCTCCTCCTGTCGACAACATATAAGAGACGATCTTTATTTGAGTGTCTCACTATTTTTCTCGAAATTTGATTTTTTGTATTATCTTCTAAGATTAGATTTGGTTAGTTACAACACGATTTTATTTTCAAAGTGGACGAAGACACGCAGCAATAACAACATTTTCTTCTACCTCTTTTACATATTAGGCCTGCAAAAGGACGGCGTGCGTGCAAAAGGACGGCGGCGTCCTTTATGTATCGTTCTGTTCTGTTCTGGCGCAGCTGATGAAAGAAACATTTTAAATGTAAAATATAAGTTTTTTGACCAAAGTTTTAAAATTTAGATGTATAGGCCTTGTATGTACATCTATTGTTTTTTACAAACATAAAGACATAAAGACATTCTACTTTTTTATCTCACTATACTTCAAAACCGAAATGTAAACGAAAAAAAACTTATTCATTTTAATCAAAAATATACAGTCCAAAAACAACGTGTCAACTAAAATCGAGACATACATTTCTGTTTGTTGTTCTCTTGCGTTTTATTGAACAAAACTACAAAGTCTTAGAGAAAACATTTTTTTGACTCTCTGTGCTGAAGTTAGACCATGAAAATGCGTTTCCGCTTTTCTTCCGCATTCTGAGAAAAATTTTATGCAATTTTCCGCATTTTGGGATTTTTATTCCGCATTTCTGACCTGAGCATCTGGGAACTCTGGTTACAACACAATTTCATTTTTAGAGTCACACGACGACAAACTTTCTTTTTTCACTCGTTGACATAATACGTCTGTGAGAGCCGTAGCGTAGCTATATAGCATATTTTCTTTATATGACAAGATGTGCACGGATTTGGTCTAAGAAAAACGTGCGCAGAAAGAAAAGAGGTAAAGTTTTTATCAGACGAGTGGAAAGAGAAGTAAGTAGGAATAGTTTTTATCTTTCCTTGTTGAATGTGTCCTTATGTCACAGACACAGATTTCACTATTGCTGCATTAAGAAGAAGTTAAAGCGCTGTACACTAACGTTCTATTGTTGATCACCACACAGACGACATTTCTATTGTTTGTTATCTAACTATAACTCTAGTTCAAATAAAATGTAAACGAAAGAAAAAGAATTCTTCTCTCTCGCTATCTGCCTAAGAGATACAAAAGTATATAAATCCAAAGAAAAATTTCATTTTATTCATATCAGATTTAAGAAGATAGGAAACAACAATAATGTTGAAATTAATTGTTATTTGGTTAATATTTATGGTTATATTTACGTTAGGCGATAATTTAAAAAGTAAGTGAGACTCACAAATAAGAGAGAGAGATGTTTTCGGATGCGTTGATTCTGCTTTGAACAAGAACAAAAGAAGATATGGTGTTTTTCAAGGATTAAAAATTCGTCTCTGTTCTCTTTTGCTTAGAAATAAAAATAATGCGCATTCGCTATGTAGAGCTCGATGGAGAGATCTAACCAGGATGCCAGATCTTCTGATTTTGGCAGAAGTTTTCTGATTTTTAGAACTTTTTTCTGCCTCGTTTCTGCTCTTTTTTGCTCTATGATCTACTGATCTTCTACTTTTTTTTCTCAGATTTTTCTGATTTTGGACTTTTATTTTCTGATTTTCGTGTTTTGAATCTGAGATCTCTGTGTCTAATTCAGTCTCATTACAGAGAGCCTATATCGAGACATTTTAAACGGAGCAAGACTCATATATACCTGCAAAAAAAAAGTTACACAGTTTTTCAAGATATTTTCCCTATGAAGATATACTTTTAGAAAAATAATCCCATATTCTGATAGCCTTTTAAATTCTCTATCACCCTGCATATAAATGTCTTAGCTTGCATTTATTTGCTGAGTACAAGGAAGATATCCTTATTCTCAGGTTTCCACAAACTACATTTTTTTATTCTCTGTTCGGTCGTTTTTCAAATTTATTATAGCACAGAAATAACTTTTTACAAAAGTAATTATATACTCCGATAGAGCTTGAAATTCTCTATCACCTTGTACTTTGCCAACCTTGGTTTGCAATTATTTGCCGACAAACATTTCGAGTATTGTTAATGTACCCACCTATAACATTTTCGTTGCTAGTTTTTCCACATCATCTGTTCTAAAATATTGTTTTACAGACCATGAGAAAGAGTACAATCAAAAGCACAAAAAGAGCTGACTTCTCACTTTTGTAACCCCTTTTTACGAAAATAATAGCAAAAGAAAAAGGTTCAAGTGGAAAAAAATAATAGATATTCAAAGTCTTTGGTATAATCTACGTAGTTTTCTTGATTGAAGCTTTAAAATTAAAGTTTACGTATGGTTTTGTAGAGCACTTTGCGGCGCATCTTCTTAAAGAAAACATTAACTTTTGAGTGCTAAAGAAACACGAGAAAAGTAGAAAATACTGAGAATACAACGGGCGTGTTACACGAGAAAGTTGATCTGGACTATCTCCGAAACTACGAGACCACACTCAATGAAACTCAGCGTTTAGAGGTTTCGTGAGGTTCTCTTTCGTTTCGTCTCTAGAAAGTTTTCTTCAAAATCCTCGGAAGCAGGAGTTCGAGAAAACGTGATTTTTGAGCTATAGTAGTTGAGTTAAAAGGGTTTTAAAAATCAGCGTTAAGAGATGGAACGTTTTAAATAACATATTTGAATTCAGCGTCGAAAGGCGAACATTTTGAAAAAAACGTTTGAAAAAAGTCTCCATATCACAATTTCAATTTTTGACTATAATTTAAAATTTAAAGTATTTAACTATTTTTAAAATGAATATAGCTCAGCTCAGCTGAGAGATGGAGATCCGATTCAAATGTGGCTGGATAGAGAATTAAAAACATAGGCGTTCGACAATGTCCCCGTATTATATGATCTTGGTTTCTATGGATTTTTGTCCAAATTAGAGGGGAAAAGTCGGAATTCTGCTCGTATTTCTCAATTTTCTTCAACAGAACTCAACTTCTATGTAATAAAAATATTATATTCGGAATCAGGATCAAAAATCGAATCGTCTGGTATGTATTTCGAAAGTTTTAGTTGATTTTAATTTTTTTGGTAAGAAAAAATCTTGATGATTTTTATTTTCCAACGTGAAAATTTGAAAAAAATTAAGATACTCAGATAGGATAGAGAAACATATTAGCCGATTCGATTTTTGATCCTGATTCCGAATATGACATTTTTATTCCATCTCTTAACGCTGATTTTTAAAACCCTTTTAACTCAACTACTATAGCTCAAAAATCACGGTTTTCTGGAACTCCTACTTCCGAGGATTTTGAAGAAAACTTTCTAGAGACGAGATGAAAGAGAACCTCACGAAACCTCTAAACGCTGAGTTTCATTGAGTGTCGTCTGGTAGTTTCGGAGATAGTTTCATGATGTAACACACCTATTTCTGGGAATCTGACGATGAGGGGTCCGCCATTACACTCAATTTATTTTTTAGCAAATAAATGGAAGCCAAGACATAAATATACGGGGTGATAGAGAACTCCGAGCGTTTAGAATATATAATTGTTTTTTTATACTAATATATGATATATTAAAAAAAGTCGATTGCAACTAATTTGTTCCAGGCGTATATGTAATCGAATTTTGTTAGAAAGAAGAAAACAAACCTGAACTCTGAGCTAATACGTTAGCCGTTCATTTCAGTGTCTCTGTAGTGTTAAGCGCTATAAAAGTGTGTGAGAAATAGAATTTTTGGCAGCCGTGTGCATTCTCGACTCTTTTTTATAACTCGTATATTTTAAATATTTTTGAGTAGTACTTAGATACGCCTGGTGATACCTCTTTGTGATGCTGCTGCTACTTCTACATTTAATCATTTCAAATTAGTATTCGGACCTCTGCAAAGACCGGATGAGTCCAACGAGTTTAAATTATCCGATAGTCAACTTCGACGGATCGCAATAGCTCCGACTCCTGTACAGAACGAAGTTCAGTGATCTTCTAAGTGGCATTGAACGATTGTCAACAACAGTGCGATCCTATTCGTCACACACAGCACAGCGTGTGCAACGAGTGCAGTTTGCACACGAACTAAAATTATCATTCGTTTAATTAATGTCATTGGAGTCGATGACGTAGGGTTTTTTACCATGGCTTTTCATTTAGAAATAACTTTTTAAGTTGTTTTTTTTTAAAATTTCTATCATATTTAGGCGATACTGTTCGAAAACAACAACAAGAACAACAACAATTATTTAGCGGTGGTGGTACACTTTTATCATCTGAATATCAAGAAAAGTTAAATTCATTTTATGGTAATCCAAAACAAAAATGGAAATTGATTTATAAGGCAACACGTGATGGTTTCAACGCAGAAGATTTTCATCGATTATGTGATGATAAAGGTCCAACAATATCTATTGCAGAATCAAAAGATGGTGGTTATTTATTTGGTGGTTTTACAACACAATCGTGGACTAGTGTTACAGGTTATAAAAAAGATGAAAAAGCATTTTTGTTTACGTTAACAAATCCATTTAAAATTGCACCAACAAAATTTTTAATTGCTTCTGGGGCAGCAGTCGAAAGTGCTGTTTTTCATTCTGAGTATACTGGTCCATCTTTTGGTGACGCTGAGCTTGTCATAGGTGATCGTTCAAATTTATCAATAACAACACATTGGAATTTTCCAGAAGTATATGTTGATACAACCGGCAAAGATGATAAATTATTTACTGGATCAGGAAATAGCTTTATAGTTAAAGAAATTGAAGTTTATAAATGTTTAAATTGTAATGACGATGATAATGATAGTACAACTGATCCAAATCATTGTGATGTTAATGCAGGTATATAGATGAGTTTATTTTTTACTGTATAATGATTATTTTGACTATTTCTTGTGAAATAGAGGTGCCAAAGCAACAAGTAGTAGTAATAGTAAATCTTGGGAATCTTCTCGCACGTACAGTGGGGAATTTTCACTAGGCACGTGAACATTAGGTTTTAAACAATTTCAGGAAACTCAGAACAATCTTTTTATAGGTTTTCCGATGTACTCTATCCAATGGAACACTTTTCAGCGCTCAAAAGCTCGTCAAACCGGTTTTCCAGAAATCCCTGAGTTTCCAGAGATCAAAACGATTTAAAAAATGCATATTTTCTCGGGGAAATAATTGTTCATAGGTTTTAGAGTATTCTGATTTCAAATCTAATAACCAAAAATGCTTTGAGAACGTTCCAGAAGATTTTTCAGAGCTGGATTTCTGGAAAACTGTTTTGTTCAGAAAATACAAGATAACTTCTTTTATAGGTTATTTCACATGCCATTTTCAATAAGACTTAAGAGTACAAACTCGTCACTATTTTGCTGGGCCCACTACCACCCTCTTTTTTGTTTCGTATTAGCCAAGTCCCTAAACTGCTGCAGATTCTAGAGCAGCAATTGGTATCGACGGTTTTTGCGAGTGTTGTTAACATAATCTTTCTCGTATTTTAACGTCATTGCGGATCCTAGTGTACGAAAAATGCTCTGAAACGTTAGTTTTTTCGAGTGTGCACCTCGACGATTACAAATTTTCTACTCCAATAGTATTGAAAGACACAACATTTGATGCAGTTTTTTGCGCTGATTCCGAATATCTCCTTATTTTTCAATAAAAATGTTTCTGGGATGAAGAAACGGAAACTAAGTGGAAAACCGAGGTGTTTTTCGAAAATTTACAACTCCGTCCAATGACTCAGTATAGTGAGGACCGCACTTCGACAAACACTTAGCGGAGAAAGAAAAAGCATTTCTCGATACAGAAAATTTAACTTTTTTTATGAATCGATAGTCTGAAAGTTCTAGATTTAGAATCTTAGAAAAAAACTTCTAATGGTAAAAAGATAGAGGGTTTGCTGAAGTATATGACCTGCGATTTGAATCTTGCAAAAGTGCATTTTCGTTTTTTACCTAATGTCCATGTTATTCCCCACTGTGGCATCCTCAAACAGATCTAGACAAAGTTTTGTGCCACGAAAACCTATGAGGTTCACAGAAAAGACTCTGTCGATCAACGTTCGCACCTCCGATGTAGACTAATTTATGTTTTTTCACCTATGTTTGTTTCGTTTTGATATCATTTTAGATGGTCAGCAGGAATTGTTTAAAGGTACAACTGTATTATCTCCAGAATATCAAAAAAAATTAAATGAATTTTATGATAATCCAAAACAGAAATGGGATTTATGTTATAAAGCAACAATAGATGGTTTTGGTGTAAAAACTTTTCATCAAAAATGTGATAACAAAGGACCAACAATGACCATTATACAATCATCAGATGGTGACGGTTATTTATTCGGTGGTTTTACAAATGTACCATGGACAAGTTCGTCTGGCTATAAAACTGATCCAAAAGCATTTCTATTTACATTACATAATCCACATCATATACCGGCAGCAAAACTTTTAGTTTCTGAAAATGGTGTAAATAGTGCGGTTTATCATTCGTCATTCTATGGTCCATCATTTGGTAGGGGTGATATTCGTACAGGTGAAAATTCAAATTTAACAGTAATACCATCTACTAATTTTCCACAAATATATTTGGATACAACAAAGATAGGTGATATATTATTTACCGGAATATCAGATGACATTAAAATTAAAGATATTGAAGTGTATAAATTTTTAAATTTAAATGATGCTGAAGGTATGTGTAGATGTTGAAAATTCCTTGATTGGCAAAAACTATGTATTTACGATCTATACCAGATAGAGATCTATATTATACATCACTCATCAGTGAGACTAAATTGTCAGTAAGAGTCGAGCTTGGCTTACGAGGGAATCGTTCGAAGTGATTCATCGCTTTTGAGTCATATTTTCGACATATAGAGAGGCCCTCTAGACTAAAATAAACCCAAAAGGATTCGGGCCCATATTGAGATTTGATCGAGATATCGAGTTTTTAGTACCCCAATTTTTCAGCAAAGGCATATTTTCAAATTTCAATCTGAACCTTTCCCCTCATCAAGGCCTCAACTAGACTAACTTGGAAAAAACATTTTAGAATTTTCGGACAAATACTCTTCGAGATATAATTTTTTCAAAATATACGCGCTTTTCCATAGCTATAGTATAAAACATGGATATGCTGAAAAAATTATATCTCGAAGAGGGTTTGTTCGAAAGTTCTAAAAACATTTTTCCATGTTAGTCTGGTTGAGGTCTTGATGTGCGCAAAGTTTCAGATCAAAATTCGTAAATATGACTTTGGTGAACAATTGGGACCCACCAGAAAAAATCTACTAAAAAGTCAAAAGCTCGATCAAATCTCAATATGGTTCCGAATCCTTTTCGGATTATTTTAGTCTACAGGTCCTCTCTATATGCCCAAAATATGAGCTCAAAAGCGGTGAATCACTTTGAACGGTTCCCTCGTTAGTTTACGTTTTCGAGAATGGTTATTAGATAGGTTCACGCCGCTGGCGACCCATAGATAGTAGAAATTCAGATTAGGTTATAATAAAAGTTCTATACTGTTGTATTATTGCTTTCATGACTTTTAATAAGTCTCATAAGTGAGTACGCTGTAAAATTGTTAGAAAAACCTAATTCATTTTCTCCCCAACTACAAAACAGAGAAAGCCCCAAATTTTAGGCCATATGTAACCGAACATATTTTGCCTGACATTTCCGATAGATTTTGAAAATATCATGTATGTCTTCAAATATTTCATAATTGCTTCTTGCAATAACAAGGTGGTAACTTCAAAGGTTGATAAAGATGCTGATCACAGTGTTATAATATTGTCCATCTGATCCCGTGAATCCTTTTTTTCTTTAATAACCCGTCTTTCCTATCGTCGAACAAACGTAAGGGTATTTTTCTACTGCAAAAGTATGTTTTGTTTCTTTTTCTAGTTTCTAAGGAACGTTCTTCTTTTACTCCTCGAGTTAATTGTTCAGATACCGAAAATATAAATTATACTCTTGTCTATTATATGTCCAATCCAACATATGTTCAAAAGACTTGGGCAACAAAAACGTTTACATATCGTACAAAATGTTTTAATACGACATTAAGATTTGAAATGCAAAATAAGCCAGGACATACATTTATTGATAATATTTCTGTTAAAAATGCTCGTAATAATGAAGAGTTACTTATTAATGGTGATTTTGAAAATACAAATAATCATAAGTTGGGATGGAATTATGGCAGTGCTGTACAATATATTAAAAATACAAATGGATGTGAACCAACATATTGTTATAATCTTAATGCTGACAGTGTTTATTGGTTTTCACAAACATTTCACACTGAACCAAATAGATTAATAAATATTAAATTTGATATTAAATGGAGTACTGTGGGACCTGACATTTTAACGGCAGTTACAATTTACCCATGAAAAAGAACTATGCAATTGACAGTAGATTCAGAGTGTACTTCTTATACCGTGTATTTCATTTTATATATTCATTAGTCATTTTTATAAGCATATTTTTTTCATTCTTCTAATCAATCATAGTTTTTCTTTTTACTAATAAATCAAAAAAGTAATATTATACAAGAAAGACAAAGTTTAGTCAGCTTTTGTTCTTAAATTCTCGCGAAGCGGTTACATGTAGCATGTGAATAAAACTAATATTTCATTATTTCTAACTTTCAAAGAAAAGAGAAAATTTTGCTAATAATGACATTTCAATAAAATCCTCGTACCTGATGTCTACAAACGAACTTCCGGTTCTTTTTCTGAATTTTTATTTTTAAAGAAAATCTGAGAGCGCCATTCGATTCGAGTGATGGAAACTTGCGGTCTTCACCAATTGGAAATCAAGATCTGATCGCATCTTTCCATCAGCAACCCCTTTTTGAAAATCTTCTGTCAAAGCAGGTTTTACAGAGGGTCTTTAGAAAATCCTGTTATTATTAAAAAAGTTATGATAAAAATATATGTTTTTTTATATGAACTATATATTTTTTTTAAACTATTTATTTTCTACATTAGTAAAGTGGCAAAGCGTAATCATATGTGTCGCAGACTCTTATACAATACAATAAAAGATGAAGAGCAAAAGAAAAGGGTAGAATAAGATGAATGTCTCTCGGTACTTTGCATAGAGGGTGGAAAATACGATGCAATAGTATCAAGACTGAACAAAACGTTTCATATCAGCAATATAATTTAACATAACAGTATATATAAGAATCAAGTCATCCCTAGGTAGACATCTTACAATAGCAGCTTGAAGCAAAATTTGATCAATTGTAACTGTGCGTGTTTGAAGAATAGTCATTATGGTTTGTAGTAAAGACTGACGCTCAGCATTATACATCTTGCAATCAAGAAAGTAATGGCAGATAGTTTCATTTGCTTTATTGCAAATAAAGAATGGAGACTAAATACACGCATGGGTAAATAGATCAAAGTTTAATTGACTAATCCTACTGTACATCTAGTAAAGTCGACTTCAAGTCATCTATTTAATACAATAGGCAAACGGAGTCTTGAAACATTCGTATACATTAACTCTAATTTGAATCGTTGTCGATTAACTATAGACCGAGTCGAGACATCAAGAGCATTCCATAGACGCAGAGTTTCTGAAAAAAAGATTTTGCCCAAAAATGAAATATGTTTTTCTGGTAAGTAGTCTAGAGTGTCGTTACAGGCCCGTGGCCTTTCACATGTCACACGCGTCATCATCACGTTCACTCTCTTTGTTATCCCTTTTTTTCTCGATATTTCTCACAGACATACATATTCTTTTACTATCTGTCGGACGTCCTATATTTTCTCTTTTTTTCCATTGTACTCGCGCATATACATACCGGTGTGTTGCCTTCATTTTTTCAGTGAGATTATACTGTTCACACGCACGTCTTACTCCGTGTTCTTCGTTCTTACAATTATTAAACTAAAAAGGAGTATTGAAGTGTGTGATTTTACTTAGAGCACAGAGTTTTCAAACATACTTTGTCTGGCTCTCTGATAAGAGTCCTGTTGAAAAAGGGAAGTGGAATGAGGCTTTGACTTTTAGCAGCTCGATTGCTGTACTGGCCTTCACTGGACTCTCAGGACTGGTATATGGTGAGTTAGCGTACCCTTGAAATTAGGGGTGGCACAGTTACTTCGTTAATCTCCAGAAAGTAACGAAAATGTTTTTTAAACAAACCTTTAATTACTCGTTACTGCTAACGAAGTAACTAAATCAGTTATACGTTACTAGTCAACAGTAAGTCATTTGGTTTCTGTTTACGAGAAAAGTAAAGGTAAAGTACCACCCCTACTTGAAATCACATGGAATATAAGTAATCGACCGCGCTAAATCTAGTGGCACTGTTTGTTTTAGGAAAGAGTTCAAAATTGGATGCAAATTGAGTTTTACAAGCTTGAGATTTTCAAGTTATTGTCACGTAACATTAAAAAATTTACAATTAACTCAAAAAAACCACTCGAACAAGTTCAAAACTTCAAAATGTAGAGTACTTATACTATTCCATATCGTAGTTTACCAAACTCAACAGTTTTACAGAAGGATTTCTGAAAAAATGGTATAAATATATAGTTTGGGCTTTTTCGATGGTATAGTCACGTTTACTAGTGACGTACAATTCAGTGTTTCCATAAATTTGAATATACGGTCTGAAGAATTTATTATGTTTATATCAACTGTCGAGAATAACGTAATGAACAAACATAACAAAAGAGAAAATATTTAACGTATGTGAAAAATTACTAGAAGTAAACAAGATGCTGTCCAATTAGGCTAATTTGTATTTGTAATTTTTCTATGTGATAAAACATTTTCCTTACATAATTAGCCCAAAACTAGTTTTAATCCTTCAGCATGTGATTATCCATCTTTATATGAATCTTCAAAATCCTCTAAATAATTTCTCACTAACATATGGAACATGAAAATGGGGCGTCATCCCTTGGCCGTGAAAACAAAGAAAAACTAAATAAATATTTGAATAGGCTTGATCTTTATCTATAACTTCGTCATGGGAAACTTTTTCATAACATATTTACGTTCGGAGCATTTTCTGTTTTACTAACAACATTCGAAACTCACTTCTATTTTTTGAAATTCCATAACGAAGAGTAATTTCCAGTTTTCTCTCTATCAATGCGAGCTAGAGACTTCAATTTTTGACCACAGGTAGAACTTTACTAACTACGCTTGTAATAAAAATTTAAGAACCATTGCGACTATCATATTAAGAATTTTAATAAAAGCTTTAAAATAATAAAAATTCAAACTAAAATTCAAATTACAATTCGAAATTTCGACCTATTAATACGGTCGTTTTCAAGTTGCTCTTCGTACAGAATGTTACATAAAGCTGAAAACAAAAATAAAACCGACTGTATGTATATCTAGTGTTTTTCTTTTTTAATCTATACGCAAACACCCAAGAGAAGGCCAAAAATTCTATGTGTATGACGAAGAAAGAAGGAGAACGATATTAGAACTGCGACAAATAGCGATTTTCTTTTCTTATTCACGTTATATATAGTGTGTGCTCACGTTGCAATGTACGGTACACATATATAACATACATCAAGACTGGTGTCTGTGTAGAGTGATGTCACGTTTCCTTCTTTTCTTTAGTGTGTACGAACGTTATATAACGTTCGTACACACTAAGGAAAAGAAGGAAACGTGACATCACTCTACACAGACAACAGTCTTAATGTATGTTATATATGTGTACTGTACATTGCAACGTGAGCACATACTATATATAACGTGAATAAAAAAAGAAAAGAAAATCGCTATTTGTCGCAGCTGTATTATGATATGTGGAGAATTTGATTAACTATAATTTTGTATTTTCTTTCTTAACAAAACTGCTTGACCTTGAAATGAAATTTTAAACTTTAAACACGTTAGTGATGAGTCGTATTAAGAGGACTGAAAACTACTGCTGGCAAAAGCTGCATTAAAGATGAACATGGAGATATGAAAGAGATAATACGTGTAGTCAGTAATACATAAGAAAAGGTGAAGAAGATTATATTGATGCTGAAAAGGGAGTGAGAAATTATATTATACAAACCACCAGAATTCTACTATATTTTTCATGGTGAAAGCACGCTTCTAGTCACAGTAACGGTGTTACCTATGAATAAAGATAACCGTAGTCTTCCATCGCCAAATAATAATTCTTTAGCTAAAAAATCAAAATCTGTACCAAATACACCAGAAACTGAAACAATGGACAATCATTTGTTACAAAGTATTAAAGAAACATTTACAAATTCATCGTTCATTGGTGAAATGACAAATTTACTACTCAATTCGGATGTCCTTCTCAATACGCTTACAACTGTTGTTAAACAAGTGTGTCAGAAACAACAACAACAAATTGATTTTTTAACATCTGAATTGAAGGAAGTTAAAACACAACTGGTTGAAGTTCAGTTTCAAATGAATGACCATCAACAATTGTTATGCCAGTTGCACGACTGACACAAACATGCCTATAACTCGTCATGCCATCCTGTGACACAATTGTATATATTACATCACTGTTTATAGTACATCCTGTTTTTCTGTTACGTTCTTTCTTTCTTTCCTTCTTTCTCGCCTATATATATATACACAGGCATATACTGTACGAGGAGAGGTCTTCGCTTTCGGAATAAAGCATTTATACATACAAGTGAAGACTCGAACAAGTTAGGTGGAGCCTAACAACAGTATACAAAACGAAAAGATTTAGTAATATATGGCATACCAGTTCAAAAAAATGAAAATACTACAAATATGGTTATTGAAATGGGGAATTCATTAGGGGTTCAACTTAATGATGCACATTTTTATTCAGTAGATCGCTTACCAGTAAGTAAAAAGTCACAAGATAAAACAACAACCAATCATCGTGGCTTTTTTGCGTTTAAAAGATAGAAATGCGTTCTATGATTCAAGAAAAAAATGTCGTGATATTGACATTTATAAAACGGTCTATATTAATGAGCACCTAACAAATTATAATAATACTTTGTACACGTATGCTCGTCAAAAACTAAATAAAAAGACAATCTTCACACACAATGGTAATGTTTATCAATATTTGTCGAAAGGGAACTACAAACGACTTTTTGCAGTGAAGGACATCGATAATGCAACTGACGCATAAATTACTGGGACATCACTATGACCAAGCATGAAACACAGGCTACTCTTTTATTTAATTCCTTTATTTTCTTCTTCCCTCTTTTCTTTTCTCTTTCATATTATGTTTGATTCTAAGTTTTTATTATGTAATAGCAAGAAGTACAGGCTCGACGGCAGGGAAGTATGGACGACATATCCACCATAAAATCTAACACTACTATGCCTGACAGTGTACAAATTGCGTCTATGAATATAAGAAGTTTGACGTCGCAAATAGATTACGTGAATGCATATCTGGCCCTAAACCGTCCAGTAATTTTATGTTTAACTGAAATGTGGTTCGATGATAGTGTTCACAACAGCGTGATAGATATTTCTTTTTATTAACCACCTTTACGTTTAGATAGAGATAGGCATGGCGGTGGATGTGCAGTATATATATGAACTGATTTTCATTCTTTGCGCCTACATGAATTTGAAGCTGCACAGTTTGAAATACTTGCGCTGCGTATAACACTTAGTAATAAAATGAGTATGATTATTTTAAATGTCTATCGCTCCAAAACTACTTCTATACAGAAATTAATTAAACAGTTAGATGGTGTTTTAGAGGAAATTAGTAACAGCAGATACAAGAATGATATGATTCTGATGGTCGGGGACTTTAATTCCCACTATCAGCCGTGTGACATCCCATCGACTAAGGAAGGTATAGAACTTAATGATTATCTCGCATCAATATCTATGTATCAGGTAGTGCGTGAAATTACTAGTAATGCGTCTAGAACATGTCTAGATTTAGTCATTGATCAAAATCCGTTATTTATATCTGATATAAAAATAGAACCAACTCTTTATCGAAGTGACCATAATTTTATAGAATTTCGATTAAACGCTTGTCTGGATAGAAAAGACAAAATTTTATGCACTGTTTACGACTATAACGTGGTGAATTGGGCGTTAGTAAATGAGCGTTTCAGAGAAATTCCAATTGACCAGCTCTTAAAAAATCATAGAAATGTTACTGAAAGAGCTAAAGCATTTGAAGAGATTTTCCTCGAATATATGCATACTTTTGTGCCCAATAAAACTATAACTATAGAACCGAGGGACAAGGTTTGGTTTAGTGACAAACTACGGGTTTTGTATAAAAATAAATGCAAATTGTACCGTAAAAGTAAAAATTCATTATACCATTTGGAACTCTATAAAGAAGTAGTAAAGAAATTTAAAAAAGAATGTGTGCAAAAGAAGTTCACTATAAAAAAAATAAATGAGAAAATTTCTGCTTCCTCGAAAAACTGGTGGAGCTTAGTTAAAAACACATTAGGTAGAGGACGTACAACGTCTATACCAGCCCTTAGGAATGCCAATAATGATAATAATAGTTGATTGTCAAAAGAAAGCCGAGATATTGAATAACTACTTTGCTGAAGTGTGTACGTGGACAGGACCTATTATCGATTCGAAAATTGCTGATACTCTGCCAGAATTTGGTACTAAGATCGAAAAGTTTAAGGTTGAACTACCTGATGTTGAAACTATTTGCGGAAATTGGATCTTACGTTAGTCAAGCATGTGCGCCAGGCATTACTAATCGGATGCTAAGAAACATGATTTCTTCTATTACTAAACCAGTTACTAAATTAGTCCACAAGTCCTTTAAATCGACCGAACTTCCTGAACACTGGAAAAATGGATTTGTCCACCCTATTTTTAAGAATGGCGACAGTCTCGATGCATCTAACTATCGACTGATAACTTTGTTACTAGCTTTATCTAAAATATCCGAAAGATTAGTTCACAGGCATTTATATAATCATTTCGTTAATAACAAACTTCTGCCGACTTCTCAGTCGGGTTTTATAGCGAAAGATAGTACTACCAACTTGTTATTAGACGTAGTCAATAAAATTAATTCTGGTATAGCTGAAGATAAGTTTGTGCGAGCGGTTCTGTTAGATTTTCGTAAGGCTTTTGATAATGTGAATCATGAACTTTTGCTGCTAAAACTCGATAAAAAACAGGACAATACCTAAAAGACAGGACAATCCAAACGATTTTGGATGGCTCTACTTCTGGAAGAAAAAAAATATCAAAAGGTGTACTGCAAGGATCGGTTATTGGACCTCTACTATTTTTAGTATATATTGATGATTTACCTAATGGCATAGAAAGTGTTGTGAGATTGTTCGCAGATGATGTTATTCTCTTAAATCATCACAAAGATCCAGCTTTCTGCGAGCAAAGTCTAAACCGAGATCTTCAAAAAATAGAAGAATGGTCAGAAAAATGGTATATACTTTTAAACCCATCAAAGTGCGAGTCAATTACTTTTTCTACGCAATATCATCACAAAGATACATCATCTTTTAAACCGTTGTTATTGAACGGTTCATCTATCGCAGGAAAAGAAGAAGTAAGATATTTGGGTCTACTGCTATCCTTCGACTTAACATAGACAAGTCATATTAACAAGGTTCTGCTTCAAGCATCTTCTATAGTCGGTGATAATGAAATTTTACAAACATACACTACGAAAAAATGTTCTTGAGATTATTTATAAGTCTTGTGTTTTATTGGTTTTAAATTATGGCTCAATAATTTACTCACTGACTCCAGAAACGAACCTCGTTAAGTTAGAAAGTCTACAGTATCAAGCGGCGTTAATAGGAGTGCATCGGTTATTTTTTCGTATTTTTCAAAAATTCACAATAAATGTTTTGTATTTTCATAAAAACGATTTGCAACATTTTTCTAAAACGGCAGTTTTGTA